GGCCACTATCGATCCCATTGCAATCGGATAAACGATGTGGTAATGCATGAAGGACACACACACACACACACACACATACATTCATTTATATATATATAGATAATTATGAAACATTCAACACAAAGTGCAGGTTTAGTCATATTCGTACTGAATTTAATATATACTGTATTTAAGATTGTGTGACAAGTAATGCTTATTGTTGTCATCAGTCATTACTTTTCGAGTCGTAGTTTGATTAATTTTATAATTTTCTTATTTACTAAATTGTTTTTTTTTTCACATCGAACATCTCACTGAAGTAAAATCTATTCGTCTTTTTCATATTCGAAAATAATATTATTAGGGAAACAACTTATCTTTACTACTGCAAAGTTGACTTGTACTTGACTGAATTTTTAGAAAGTTTAATTTCAGTTAAAAAATGATAAAGTACATTGTATTTTATCATTTGTGTACTACTTCTATGACTATAAATTACAAATCATATTGTCCTTTCGAAATAAAAAAGAACAACTTATTTGCAACACTGTAGAAAATTTACACACGTACAGTACACATTAACGGATTTCGAGCTTTAGCGGTAACACATACACGAAATGACTGTGTGAATGTTGACATTCGTCAGATATCGGTCGTTCACAGTAACATATACATATTGTTATTAAATTACCTGAAAATTATTGTTATACTAGATCTTCTATATTATCCATTAAAATTTACATTATATAACTCTGTACAATGGTAGAAAAACGGCAAAAAGTTTTATTAAGCATTTGAATAATGATCAAAGCTTTCATCAAAAAATTTAAGATTGTGATACAACACCTGCCGTTTAAATATTTAGAAGTTATCAATATCATTTCGTCCATTAAAAAATAAGATTTTGTTTCCAATAACTTGAATACGGAGATAGTAAATTGCGTATGTAGTTCGATTAGATTTGTAACGAGTGCGTTACGGACTTCGTGTATTTGGTGGTCCTGTATTTTATTGAATTTTATCCAAGATTTGTTATAGAGATGACCAAATTGGTAACAATTAAGGTGATACAGAAACAGCTTGATGTCCTCTTTTGTTCTCAAAATCCTGAATACTGCATCAACAATACTGTTTAGTGGCATCTCAGCAAAATTCCGGATTCAATTGGAAATCCCCTGCTTTTGTGTGTTATGATATTTGTTGGAACAAAAAGTAACTTGAGAAATAAATAAACAAATACAAAAATAATAACAGAAATAAAGGCAGATGCACAAAGCAATAGCCCGAGCACGACAAAATAGGCACAGTGATGCTGGTATTACAATAGGAAAAATTTGAACAGTAAGGAGCATCATTTACATAAGAATAAACACTGCACTGTTTACACACGTACAGTACACATTAACGGTGTACTGTACGTTCATCATACCATTGGAATGAGAATATAACAGATTGGGAAGTTAAACACAAAAGAAAATTGGCTGTGCCGACATGTCAGATAATGCAAAGGATAAGTGCAGTATAGAACATCTGGTGAGAAGTATCAATATATACCAATCAGTTAGACTTATGGGTTCAGATTGATTATTGCAGTCGTAATCTTGTTGCTGCTTAAATGTGAAATATTATTAGGGCCGAATGGTCGAGCGGTTAAGGTGGCAGCCTACCGCTCTGGAGAGTTGCCACCTTAACCTTAACTGGACGGAAATGAAATTTGTTACAACGTTGCACTTAGTCTTTCATATTTGTTGTTAGTAATTTAAAAAACATTTTGAAACACATACGGAACGATAATAATTTTTTAAAATATAATAACACAAAAATAAAAAGGGGACTCGGGTACATTTATCGAGAGCCACAAATAATCCTTCAAAGAGCCGCATGTGGCTCGCGAGCCGCAGGTTGGCCACCCCTGGTATATACTGTACCTTGCATAGTAAAGTATGCATCAATACTCAAATTCTTCCTATGCTCACTGTGGAATATCCATCATCTCTCCTCCCACGGTAGCCACAATTCTATGGCTTCTGCAGATTACTTATGTTGTATGACAACGAGCATTTCTGACTTTGCAAACTGCCTTCTCTGTTGCAAAGGCATTTTGCATGTTTTCATTTCTTCCTAGAGGTAGTAGACAATGAGACATTTGAATGCAGATGGGAGGATAAATCTTGGAAGATCAACTGGTATGTCACCTACTTCTTAAATAATAATTAACATAATTACAGTAATTTAATGTGGTAGCATTCTTTATGGATGGAAAACCCTGTATATATACACATGTCGGAGTAAAAATAAACTATAAATTTTTAGCATAACTTTGTATACAACAGACGCATACATTTGTTATCTTCAAATTAGGCTCCTTCTATAATGAAATACTTGTCAGCATCTACACTTCCACTCTGCTGCTTGTCTGCTTATTGGATTCTGCAATCATTCAATCTCTCTTTCATATTAGTAAGCACAGAAAAGCCCTCATCACATTATGAGCCTTATATTGTTTACCAGAAATATGTGAGAACCTCATTCTCTATCAGAACAATGTTATATATACAATGTATATATAATACTGTTCTGATGTATAATGTTTAATTAAGTTTATAAAAAAGAAATTGTATAAGTATGCTGCATGGGAGCCACAGTAAAGTTCACGAAATGCAGTTTGATGCTACCTGAATTTTGGGTTTGTTTATTAGACAGATATAGAAGTAATGCTCAATATATAAATTCTAATGTATAAACATTAGTATTTAATATTGGGTGTTAATATCTTATCTAAATAAAAATAAGTATATACTCCAATTTTTATCAAATTGCAACAGAATGGACTGAAAAAGTTAATAATGTCAAGTTGTTTTTAAATGCAATAAATTAAAATACAATTTCAATTCATTTCTAAAATTTTTCTGGACATTTCAACCCAATCTTCATTAAACTTTTTGTAAAGATGTGTACAAAACACTCGGATGAAGCACATTTTAAACGATTAAACATTTACTACCTATGTTCTTAATTACTTTGGTTCTTACCTTATATCCCATAATCGGTTCTTCTTCTGTAGAGGTGAGAATACCTCTCCACTTAACAGCTACCACGGTAGGAGAAACTGCTTTGACTTCAACATTTGTAGGAGGTCTTAAAGGTGCTGAAATTATTGAAGATCTTAAACATGCCATTAATACAAAACTATTATTAAATAAATATTTGCAAAGTTTACCAGCTTTGTACGTTCGAGCCAAAAACTTTTCGCTTTCTATTCCGCTACCTGCATCATTATAAGCCATGACGGCCACCCAGTACTCTGTATTCGGCTGTAATCCTACGATGAGACCCCAAGGAGTCATGCCACGGTTCAATAATATTAAAGAATCTGTTTCGGGATTATCATCCTTCTTCCAGTATTTAATCTAAAATTTAATTATTTTTGTTAATTAAGTTAGACTTAAAAAAAAATGCTAATAAATTAATAGGTTTTTTTACTCTGTGTCCCGAAAGTTTTCCTCTTATTTTTTCTCTAGTTAAATCGAGTGGTTCCCAAGAAACATTAAGTGCGGTAGAGTTAAATGGCAATGCTTTGACTTGAGATGGCTGAACTTGAGGCACTGTAAAAAATGTTTTGATTAAATAATAATTTCTCTAAAGGAAAATATTTGATAAATTTTAATTCTCACTTTTCTCGGCAGAAAATATGACAACTTCATCACTAATTGGTCCCGGTCCGACATCATTAATGGCTTGTACTCTTACTGTATATTCCAAATAATAATTTTCTTCCCCGACATTCACAGTATACATTCCAATATTTCCATATTGTTTTAAGTCTTTCTTGTAGTACTCAACATTTTCTTCTAATTTTTTATAATATATTTTATACCAAATATTTGGAGCATTCCAGTCTTTAGGTGGAATAGGCTAAAAAATTTTTAAATTACATAAATTTATAATCATTTGGGAACATGTAAAAATCTGATAATTCATTACTTACATCCCAAGTAATTGTAAGACTTCCGACTTTTCCTCCTCCTCCTCCGACATTAAGAGGTGCGACGTAAGGTATGTCGTTAGCGGTGTTATATGCCGGACTTTCTTTGCTCGGAGATCCCTGCCCAAATTCATTCATGGCTGACACACGGAAATGATATGTACTCCACGGTGACAGAACACCAATGAGTTGCAGCTTTCGTCTACCATTTTCTCTGTTTACTAGCGTTCTGTCTATC